GTTGAAGAAGCGGTTTCTTTCATGGCCAATGTGAAGGAGAGCCGGAGAAGAATGGTGCTCGTCTCTCTCTCTCTCTCTCAGCTGAACCTGCAAAATGGGGTTTCTAGGGTTTTAAAAACAGGCGCGTTCTCGGAGAAGGTTGCACGCGGGGAGAGCTCCCGTCCGATGTAAGAACTAAGAACGTCGGCGAGAGAAATTTATGGAATAAATAATGGCAAACACTAAAAATGGAAAAAATTAGACAAATATTATTTTTTTTCTAAGGAAATGTGCCTGAAAATTTATTTTAAGACATACATTTTATTTTTTAATACATTGCTATCTAATACATAGACCATATAAAGTTCGAAACAAAGAGCTCCGGCACTTTACTTTCCTCGTCAAGACAGGTTTCAATCATGACTATATGACAAAAATTATCTTTCGTTGTTTAAACTTTGAAGGTGCTGATATTTTTAAGAGAACCAGCTAAATTCATTCTTTCGTCACTAGAATCTTGCTAGTCGACCATCTCCAATTGGGCCAAATTAGTTGGCCCTCTTCTTCAGTGGACCGTCTCCACTCGATCATCAGTAGTCAACTCTCTAAATTAATCTAAAAGAAATGTAACCAGCTTAACTCACAAATGATGGATATGAAACATGTTATCCATGACACATTATCCTATTGCTGAAATAATTATTTGTATATATTTTATAATTATGTACACTCAATGCGTCGCTGAAAATCTATGAGAAACTTTATAGCCCAAAGGATAAACATGGTCAAAGATAATTCACAATAAGTCAAATGTCACATCAACACAAACCCATAAAAGTTTATGACTGACCAATGTCTCCCTAAAAAGGTATGCATGACTTGTTAAACTTGTTGAGTCCCAATTTGTCTTTCAAAAGTACATGTTGATACGCCACCAACAAATTTTCATCATTCGACACGATCTCAAGGCAATATTTTGAGCAAGAAATATTCAAATCTTGATAAAAAGTAATGCAGAGCTTCGATTTCAGTACATTTATACTCAAATTGGTCGGCTTGATGAGAATGACCCAATAATATTAACACTAGTTCAATCTGAGTCAGATCAAGCCCGAATCAAATCATTAAATCACTCTTGGAAGATTTTCGGAGGCATTTGAAATGTCAAACGGATGTCAAATCTAGCGAGTTCATGTTCAAATCGAGCGTCTCGATAAGACGAACCCAACGAGCCCAAGATTGCTCGATTCCAACATTGTTAAGGCAATCAAATGTCCATCAAACATCATCTGATCGAGAGAAGCTCTCCGGACCGTCTGATCAAAATGGTTTATATCCATGCATTAATTACACCGAAAACACTATATATAGAGTCTCACCCCTCACATGAAGGAGAAGGCTTGAGAGAGAATTTGAGGAGAAGGAGCTCAAGTCCGACATCATTCCTGTCATTGTCGATCGTCGTCGACCATCACCGACTGTCAGCGACCAACGCCAACCTCCGTTGACCACCGTCGGCCGCTGTCGATCACTGTTGAGCAGACGCGATCAGTCGACATTGAAACTTGAAAAATCTAGTAACACTTTCCCGTCTATGGGACAAGGGTCTTTTGTAATCATCAACTTATAGTGAATTTTTATAATGAGGCCAGACCCCGTGGTTTTTTCTCCTTACGGGTTTTCCACGTAAAAAATTCTAGTGTCATCACATGTTGTTTCTCTTTCATTTGAGTGTGCGTTGAATCCTCGTGCAAAACTAAGACGATAATTCATTACTCTACCGTCGCGAAATTTCTAGCACGCATCACATGTCTCGAGAGTTAGAACTGAGAGAATGAGGAGAATAGATAATAGATCAGATATATAGTTCAAGAGAGAAGTTCTTTATTCATATTTTAACTTCCTGTTTATAAGGGTCTAATTGTACATATATGCAAATGGGGAACAATTATGACAA